AAAAAAATATCAGAATAGCATATAGCCAGAAGGTGAAACAAAAAGGCAGTAACCAATACAACATTCAAACCAGGATGCTAAGTACTACAGTGCAATAGTAATATTTTTTAGCAGAATTGTAATTTGGTTTTATTTTTCATATGACCCTAAATGCTTCAAAAGAGAAAAGTCAAATAAATTCATACCCTTTATCAAATAAAAAAATTAAGAAAAATAAAGAATATCGTTATATTTTGATCCCACCCCCCCCACCCCACCCCGGCTAAAAAACAGTCTAGTATTGAGCTGATTATAGAAATATATCAGTTCTATCATATAATAGAGAAGGATTACATAGAAAAAGGGACTGACCAACTAAGCATATTAGTCTTTTGCATTGTTTTACATTATCATGTTAACTTCACTTCCACAATCACTAAGGAAAATAATTCACTGCTTATACAAGTGACTTAATTGATGCTGCAAGAGACATTAACATGTATTCTACACATTGCTTTCTGTAATTGTAGTTTGATTTATATCAATGTTTAAGTAACTCTTTAGTGATCTTGCAGTGCTAATCTAGGAATGCATTCAGTTCCATTTATTGTTTTAAATGTGCCAATATTCAATGTGACACATTTAAGTAAGGCATGTTGGTGGCAAATAAATTTTAGAATAAATAAGAATTAAAGAAAAAAAATCACAAATCAAGACTCATCAGCTGACAGCCAGAATACCTGGGTCTGGGAATAGATTCTGTTTTCTTGGTTCTGGGAGAGGGAATGCTGAGCGTGCCATGACTCAGAATGATGGGTAGGTGAAAATCCTCTGTCCTCAGCCACTCTGAAGTCTGGGGCCACCCGCTGCCATAAATCAATCAGTCAGTCAATCATTTATTCCAGTGAGATTTCTTTTTTTCAAACAGAAATATAGAAATATGGGAACTAGGCTATATTTTTATACAACTATAACCATTTACATTATAATCAGAAATAGATTACATTGATAACTACTGATTCAGACCTATTCCAAAGCAGAGAAAATGCAGTGCAAACTGTTCCCAACAAAAGACTCTATTCAAAGCAAAACAAAAACCTTAAAATTAATAATTGCACATTATTCTCTTTCTACAAGTGGATGGTGATGATTTAGTGGTTACCCTTATGCCACAGAATTACATCTATCCCCCCCCCCCCAATGATTTCTTTAGTAGGCATGATTCTTGCACTGGGCAATTGCTTCTTTCATTTTTGTCAGGAGAAGCAGGTGAAATAATGATCGTTGGGAATGAATGTTTGGAGTCAGTGATGGACTAAATCAGGGAAGGTAACTTTGAGGGGAGGTAACTTGTGGTCTTCACATTTTGGCAGCAAATTACATTACTCTGACAAGGAAAGTATCTGATGATAATAATAATTTCTTTAATTTATACGCTGACAATTCCCAGTAACTCTGGGTGGTTGATAATTGGTGATAGAAATCTTGTCTTTTCATGTATCATGGCTAGGGTGACACAAAGCAAACTGTTAAGTTTGATCCTTGCTATCACCAGTTGCCAGGGTACTGTTTGTGACCCCCAACTTTCTTTCTTCTTCTTCTTCTGAGCAGATGGACTTAGTTCCACTTAGTGAAGAGGTGACCCAGCAATATTTTCAATTTCTGAAGTCTATGTAGGGCCCAAAGGTTTTCTAAATTATAGCAAAGGCTGGCACTTTGCTTTACATTACAATTACTCTTCATTTAAAAGATTTTACTAAAAGGATCTAAAATTGAGATGAGGTATCCTTAGCTGCTTTACCTGTCCCAAATGGTGAGCAAGCTTATGTTCAGTCCAAATACAAGGAAGATGACATTTCTGAGCAATCAGATTGACCTTCATATTATGGATACACTAAACTAGACAAGGTTGCATTTGTTCTAAAGCAGGAGTGTCAAAGCGGCGGCCCATGGGCCAGATGCGTCACGCACAGGCCACGCCCACCCCAGCTCTGCAAAGGGAAAAACGTCGTGATACGTCATGTGACAGGCAACATGACTGAGCGAGTTTGACACCTATGTTCTAAAGGATCACTTTCACAGTCTGAGGTTGATTCTAAACCCATCACTTCATCTTGGTCCCAATATCGTATCCTAGCTAGTGCTTCTAAAGAATGTGGATTTAATCATTGTTATATAAGGCTTTTATAACATCCAGGCTGGCTTATCGTAAACCATAGTCTATATTCAAATTCATTCAAAAATTACACTGAAGCCTGCACATAATTCAAAATGAGACGGCACACTTTTTAAGTTGAAATATGTATATTGAAAAGAAGGGAATGGGGAAAGTAAAGAAAATGAAAGGACAATGGTGTACAGAAGTAGCAATCAAAGGAACCAAAGATCCCTAGCACCATTAAAATAATATGAATGTTCCTGTTGAACTATATCAAATGTTAAGTGAATGTTGAAATGAGAAATGTTCAATGCAAAGGCTTTAAAAACTTTTTGCTACTAAAATATTGCTAACTTAGTCAAAGATGACAATAATTAATGATATGTCAGTCATGAATAAATGATATCCAGTCAACCCTACAATTGAAATTATTTCTACTGTTCTCAGCACAGAAGCTGAGGAAGCAGTCTGTCTCAATCAACTGGTATTTGTCTTCTTCACAACTGAACATGCCAGTCACAACTTTTGCACATTTTCCTTCTTCAGTCTCATTTATAGGAAGATCATTGGAGAATAGAGTAACTTCTTTGTTTATTACTTTAAGGATCAAGAAACAAAAGGATCAAATAATGAAAGCAAATCCCACTGAGTTATCTGTTCATATAGATGATGCAGTGTGTGTGTAAGAGAGAGAAAGAGAAGTTTTGAGGAGATAGTTCAAGACATAAAAAGCCCTTTATTTAAATTTACGTAGCAAGTCAACAACAATATTCTCCCATATTCTGCTTTAAACAGCAGCCAGTCAGATGACCATGAATGGCGCATAGATAGGCCATGATGGTAACAGCCTTCCACACTTTTTTACTCCCAGCATTTCATAATTAGAACTGTGTTATTTCTAAACTTGAAACTTCAGTATATCTATCAAATCTATCAATCAAGTTAAATCCTTTTTGGAGCCATCTACTTTTGATGTATTGAATTCAAAACATTATATATTGCTACAATTTTACATTTTGCCTAAATATATTTACCCATTTTTGTTTTCTATTCTTGTTATATAAAGGAAAACCAATCAAATTACTCATTTCTTCACCATATTATCGACAATCTTATAATTCTTCATCAAAAAGACAAACCTTTGGGTTCTTTTTTATACACTGTCAACTGATCTTTTTTAAAAAAGGGGGGGGGGCAATATTCTACAGGTTGCATTGCATCAATTGCTGTAACATGTACACTGTTGTGATATATGCCATCTTACTTAAAATCTATAAGCACCTAATACTGAATCTTCCTTTATGGCATAAAGGTGTCTTTCTATTGTCAGCAAAGGGACATCACTTGATCCATCCCAGTGAGTTAGGTCCTCTAAGATTTTACATTTAGATATTACAAGTAAACGATATCTTATGAATGAACATATGAAGTTAGCAGTTTGCACTTATTTTCACTGAATCTCAGCTGGCATTTTGCTATTCAAAATAATTTACATATTCTTTTTGCACACAAAGCTTCTTTGGCTGATGTACATGCTTAAAAAAGGAAACAGAATCTTTATTTGCTATTTCTCCCTCCACTCTCCAATGTGGCTCTCCCATCTGTAATATTTAGGATCTGCATCTTTTTTTCTTATGAAAACATGCCCCAATATAGTTAAAATGAAGCAAGCTTATTCTTTAATGCTGATGTGTATATGAGACAAATGAGACATTGATTAATTAATTAATATAACTATTTTTGTTAAAGATTTTAGGAAATCCCCAGTTTGTATCTTTGAAACAGTGTATATTTGCAGAATAGTCCAATTATTCTGGCTGTAATTGAACTTTCAAAAATATCATAATGGAATACAAGAATGAAATCATTGCTACCTTCAAGCACGAGATCAATCTTTCAGTAATTTTTTTATCTATTGGCAACAACATTACACAACTGCTATTAAAGAAGAAAAAAATGATTTTAAATGTTATACAATACTGTAGAATTTTTAGAGATGGGCAAACTTGTCTTACTCACATTGGAGATACTCTAGAATAACTTACGTTAACAAAAACTATCAAAAACAAGAAATTATATTTCTCTTTTAGCCAACCTGAAGCTCTAAAAAGCAATCTACTAGCAAAGCAATAGAGATGATTCTTCATTGCTTTCCTTACAGCTTCCCATAGTAAAATAGATGGGATGGGAAATAGAAGGGAAAAAAATACCAATGATTCAGATTTTTAAAACAGAGCCCAAACTTAGATCAAACAATAGAGAGTAAATTCTGTGGGTCATTCAATTCTATGAAGTACCTTACAAGGATGACTTTGGTTCTATTGGCACTGTGTAGAAAATTTATTGCCATCCATATAAGTTATATTTTAGAAAGCAAAGATCCCAATTAGAATGCCATTTAAGATATGTTTAAGATTATTTCTGAGAGCTTTAATAGCACCCACATCTCTGGTCAGTTTGTTGGTTATATCAACTTTTGTAAGATATGCTTTGTACTACTATGCACAACGAGAACTCATTTTTCTTTGTTTCTTTTTTTAAGAAGATAATGATCCTAACCATACCATATATTTAAACTTAACTTTCATTTTTTTATAATTTATCTTTGAATTTCATAAGGACAAGGCTTCAGGTTTTACAAAAGAACACATTTTTAAATCAAACTACCACATCTGCCTACTAAATCTGAGCTGGTACCTTCCTGTATCCACATAAGGTAGACTGAAATTAGGAGGAAAGACTGGAAGAGGCAGTAACATTATCAGGGCATTTTAAATGTTAGATTCATTACTAATTTTCATTCTAAAGTTCTGTCCAAGAAATGGTAACTTACTAATAGGTAACATAACAAAATAAGTCTTACCTTTTTGTATAGACTTCTCAGATCTCTGTATTGCCACATGCTATTTAAGACCTGAGATGCTGCCTTCACTACTTTTGGTGAGTGCCTATTAGGGAATTAAAAAAAAAGACACATATAAGGAACTGAAAAGCACTCATTGGTTCAATCAATATTATATGACAGTGTTTCTCAACTCAGCAACATTTAAGATGTGTGGATTTCAACTCCCAGAATTCTCCAGCCAGCTGCAGCAGCATGGTTGGCTGGGGAATTCTGGGAATTGAAGACCATACATCTTAAAGTTGTTGAGGTAAAGATATCCTGTTATATGCTTTGGAAAATAGAACAGAACTTCTTTTGAAAATCATATTTATTAAAGATTAAGAAAGGACGAGCTTGTTAGCCCTAAGCCTAATCATAATGTTATTAGCCCTAACCCTAATCATAATGTGGTCTGTTTTTCAATTAGTGTGATACTTGAACTTGAGAAATACTATATTGTCATTTTATAAATACTCATTTGTTTTACCTGTGCCTTATACTTGTGTCAGAATCCATCATCTTAATGCACTTTTGTTTATTCCTGGTTTGCATTTATGGTCTGCCCTAAATTTGTACTTGGATAAGAAAGAGGCAAAACAAGCCACGAATGAACTAGCAACCTGATTCATTTGCAACAGAGTCTGATGTTCAACCAACTATGGTTGATTTGAACAGTGCTTTGCTTTTCCTCTGGGTAGAATGTGACCCCAAAGTTCTTGGGATTTATTTTGATTTTTTGAGCATCCTACCTGGCTTATTTTTATTCTTTGATGATCCTACCTGGCAGTAATAATAAGTTTAGTTATAACTGTGACATTTCAGAATTATGTAAATATTATTTACTCTGGGTATTTGCTTCTAACCTTGATGTATTCCACTCTTTTTTGACCATCACAGGCAGCAGCCCAAATATATTGGGAATGGATTACTTTTTAAACATTTTCTTGAACAAATCTGTTATTTTGAATAGCAGCTGCAATTATCAGTTTCTGGGTTGCTGTCCAGAATAGATAATAATTAATCTGCAGGTTTCTTTTGATAAATCAATATAATGCCACAGATCCAAATTAAGACTACAAGCACCACACACTTTGATGTGAGATTGCTTATTATCTTCTACCCATCTGCCATTATCTGTGAAGTTTTTTAACACACAGTATAAACGATTTCCAGGAAATCATTAGTGTCAACTATAAATTACAGCTAACAGGCAGAAGATGATTGGCAAAACATACTTGTCTCCTTTACTTTTGGAAATGCCAACAAGTTTCTCAATTCCTCCTGCATCTCGTAAGGCCTTGGCATTTTCCATATTTTTTGTGATGACTTCATGCAAGGTGCAGCAAATGGCAGTTACGGTATCATCAGACATGGTCTTGCTTGCTGAATTGTTACTGTTGTTACCTCCTGGAAGCCGGTGAACCAGGTCCCGCATGGCATACTTGCCTTTTGGAAAGGGGGAAAAATGATAGAAGCAGTCATATAAGTAAAAAACAAAAGAACAGAAAAGCACAGGAAAAAATATCACATGATCCAATGATTTCTGAGTGTTTCATTTTGCAGGTTAGCATGTGGTTGTTTTTTTATTTTAGCAAACTCTTCCATGTAATTAGTAGTATAATAAGTAAAAGAGAACCATTATATTTTAATTTTTGCTCACTAACTCTACATGTCCTTATTTCTTTCCTGGACATATTATATATCCCTGATGGAGAACAGGGAGGAGAACCATTTATATTGAAAACAATGTCAGGTGAACACTCAGTGCTTGAGTTGTGCAGCAAAATAATACTACTTAAAAAGTAACTAAAACTTTGCTTCTGATTGGTACTAAAGTGTGAATAGGTGTTTGATCTAGAAATAATTAATCTCTCCATGACCACATGTGTCAAAGCAACTTCAAAAAAAAGGTCTATCTCTCAAAATATTTCCCCACCTCTGTAAATAGAGAATCTTTAGTGAAAACATTTCTACCCTGGTTTTCTTTCCCAATAGGCGCACAAATCTAACCCTGCAAAAAAACTATAATCTGACATGAATGTTACTAAACACATATGATTTATGGAGGCCTAATTAATGATAAACTGTTTTTACAGATTTGTTAGTGAAATTACTTGTAAATAACATTACATGAGACAATGATTATATGCTGGCAGCTATCAAACATCGGCATATATTCTCTGTCTCAAATAAATGATCCAGAAATCATTATATTGTGAAGCTTTCTGCTTGGAATTTGGCTGGTTAATTAATACTAATAAACTGTAGTTGATTTATTAGCTATGTATTAGCATCAAAACATCAGTAATGATATGCTCTGTCATAATAGTGCAATAAGTATATAGTTTAGCAATCTGTATATAGATATAATAGATACAGATATATGTATAGCCACTGGTATTGTTAGTTAATTCAAGATTTAAAAGGTCAAAAGTCAGCAAATATTTAATGTGTTAACTTATGTACGGAAAAGCCCCCACACTAATTGATACACATACATATTGCTTGTTACATCTCCCCCCCACCCCCACCCCATAGCTCAAATTATTGCGTTTGTGTTTTCATTTTGGAAGGTATGAAAAAATAGACAAAGATAAAGCATGAGACATGTCATCTCTTCCCAATAGAGAACAACTATGCTATTAGCAACAGTGATCCACAAATTCTGGGCAATTTCATTGAGGAAAACATTCTTTAATAGATAAGCCTCCTTCCTATGAAATGCACATGCACATTTGTGTACACTTTACTCAATATTAATAAACTCAAACATCAAGCAATATAGCCATATCTTACTGCAAATGTGCTAATACCAAAAGGATTCCCCACAGAAATAAAATGAACTTTACTTTTGTCTAATATTATTTTCGATATAGTGGAATAAGTAACAGTTTTTCAAGAAATCACAATATTTAGCAGACAACTACAGCCATAAATCTTATATTGAACATACTGGTACTTTGAAAACATAAGTTCCTTGTACAAAATAACTAATAGAGTAACTGGCTAGCATTATCCCTATAACTTAGATTATATAGATGAACATTTAATTATCAATAAAAGGACTTTTACTTGTCTCTTCAGACCAAAAAGGGTCCTCTGCAGAAACTTTGAAAGGTCAATAGATTTCTTTGTTTTGGCATGAAGACAAGATTTCTTTTAAAAAATGGAGGGAAGAGGTATATCCAGATTTGGTAACGGTTTTTAGCTTTGAGCTTTTTGATCAAAAGTTGGAGTTGGCTTTTTAATAGTGTATGCATCCATGTGTATATACACATAAACGCACATGCATACATATATGGGGAAATATATGGTACGTGTGAACACTACTGTCTTGAGAAGCATATAATAAGACAATGGCCACAGAGACGACTTTACATATTTAAAAAGGCAAAGAATCCCTATGAATTTAGAAGTCTCTCTATTAGCTTAGTAATGATAATCGCAGGTAAACTTGCCATTATATTAGTGGCATAATTCTGTCCTATACACCATTACAATACTGTCTTTTATTTATTTATTTGTTTGTTTGTTTGTTTGTCAAATATGTACAAGGTAGCAGGTGTAGGTATAAACACAGACATAAACAAAGGAAGTAAGTACAGATAAATGGGGATAGTAGGACAGGAACGGTAGGCATGCTGGTGCGCTTATACATGCCCCCTTTACAGAACTCTCAGGAATGTGGTGAGGTTCACGGTAGACAGTTTGAGATTGAAGCTGTGAGGGTTTGAGGTTGTAACAACAGAGTCAGGTAGAACATTCCAGACATTGACCATTCTGTTGCTGAATTCATATTTTCTACAACCGAGTTTGAAGCGGTTTACCTTGAGTTTGTATTGTTTGTTTGCCCGTGTATTATTGTGGTTGAAGCTGAAGTAGTCATTGACAGGTAAAACATTGTAGCAGACTATTTTATGTACTATGCTTAGATTGGACCACAGGCGGTACACTTCCAGATTGTCCAAGCCCAGAATTTCAAGCCTGGTGGCATAAGGGATTCTATTGTGAGTAGAGGAGTGAATAACTCTTCTTGTGAAATACCTCTGGACCCGCTCAATTGTGTTAATGTCCGATATGCAGTAGAGTGGATTCCAGGTCTGGCAAAGGTTTTGTATGCCCTAGTTAGCAATATAATGTTACCGGAGAAGAAGCTTCACAAGATTATGTTAACAACTCTTAATGCCTTTTTGGCAATGCTGTTACAGTGAATTTGGGGGCTTAAATCAGTTGAGATGAGTACTCCTAGGTCATATTTCCTTGTGTTTTTTGAATGCTTTCTTTCTTGATAATTAGTTCAGTTGTGTTTCAAATAGACCTACCCTTTTATTTTTAGTAATCAGCAAAAAACAAAAAAACCAAACCCAATTAATCTGAAGATAGTTAATTACATCTGAAATATCAATGTAACAGCCGATTATTTTAATGCACTATAATTTTCAGCCAGTTTCTTTCCTATTCTGTTTTGGCTGATAAAGCGTCCACAGAAAATACAAAGCTCAAAAGGGTATTATTATCTCCCCTGACATTTAACATTTTTCTTTAAAGATATTATCTATATTATGGTAACAAATTGAGGCTGTGATTAAAGATCATAGCTCCACAATGGCTCTTTGCAGAAATCTATGAAAAGATATCTCAGATCTTTGCGCTCTGGAAGGAAATGGAAGAAAAGGTAATCGAAAATGATTATGCTCAATATCACAATCAGGATCTTGAGTCACTAAGTACATAGTTGTCACTGAAAGTTGGGTATGAATCAGGACAGAGGATATTCCTGCTTTGCACCTGAAGCAGAATGCTGTAGCACAGTAGAACTGTGTAAGGAGCTCTTAAGCTACATGTGGAAGCCCAAAGGAGGCCAAGGTATAAGATGCTGAATGCTAATTGGATTTTGCTGGGTCTGATTCCAAATGTACCAGAAGAGAGTTCATGAAGAGGTCTATGGCACAAGCAGGCAAATCCTTAAAAGCATTTCCCCTATGGCAACAGTCGAAAAATAAAAAATAAAAAAGACAGCAATTGTGAAAGGGAACTTTAGATGGTAATAAAGCATAAGTAGGGACAGAAAAAAATTGCATCAAAAATATAAGAATTATATTTATTAAAAAAGTTCTGTGCAGGCTGCTCCTTGCCTGAAAACAAAATATTTCCTTAACAATTTATTAGGATAGGAAAGTTTGAGTTATCAACCTTCCTGTTAGGAGGAACTGGAAACCGTAACAGCCTTGAGAGTATCAGTCTGATCAATATGATACATGCTTCAGAGAGACAAGAAAATAACTCCTGTGCAAGAGAAAGAGGCTGAAGAGCAGAGCCTTCTGCTTAAGTTGTCAATACATCAGTTGCTTTGATGGCCAGTAAGTTTATAAGGTGCAAACGGCTGGTAGTGCTCAGATATTGACTCTTTTAAGAAGTGTGTGCAAAGAAAGACTGGAGTGACATTTCAAAGACTTGAAATGTCAGCAGCCTAGACTTGGGTAAACAGCTTTCCAACTAAAGATAGCAGAGAGTTGTATACATCTTGGGACTTGACACCCTCCCCACCCAGTTTAGTCATAATGCAGAATTTAATGCAGTCCATTTCAATCAGACCATAACTTGTGCAATATAAGAGACACTTATATTTCTGTAATACAGTCCTTAGCACATTGCGCTAATGAAGTTCCTCCTTAATTAGATGTGAAAATTTACTAAAAACTCCAACTTCACATTGGTTCTGCAATGGATTGTGATCAGTGGCAATTAGTCATGTAGGCAAGTTTTAGCAGACAAGTCCTTCCAGAAAGGTTTAATTGAAACAGCCTAAGGAACAGCTAGTTCACTTAACAAAAACAGTACCATTTTTTCTGAAGCAAGTAAGGCCACTTCAAACAGTTACCTTATTCACATTACTAGTTTCCAGAGAAGTGGTACTGCAGTGGATTGGGGAGTGATTTCATGGTGGAGCCTGGACTGAAATGGTCGTGGTGTCTTTTCCCCTAGCCTCCTTACTCACTTTCTGGCTGTACACAGTGTATCTGAGAAAGCACATTCTTTCCTCTCTCATTTTTTGTCTTCTGCCTCATTCCAAAATTTTGCACAAAGTTGAATTGCAGATGACTACTGCATTTGGGAGATACTAGAAAAGGTAAAAAAAAAACCCCGACAACCCTGAGTCTAAAATTTGGAAGGTTTTGGAGTTTGAAAAACAACAACAACCCAACATTATTTAATATTTTACACAAGGTTCATGATTCTCATGTTACTTTCTTCTGTAGTAAAGGGTGGAATGGAAAACAACACATATTTTTTGAAATGGACAGGATTTTAAATCTATGCTTAAGGATGCCAAAGCTGAGCTGCAAAAATCCAGATGGCCACTAGATGGAGATAAAGATGGAGGATGGACTCCAGCACAAGCCCAAAAGCTCGGAAGACTAAAACTCTGGTCCTGGTGACTGGCC